TAAGCAGATCGTTCCATCTGGGAAAGGGTTGTGCATTAAACTACACATAATTTTAGTTATGCTCGCTGCTCCGCCTTGACGTCAAAATCATTTTGTCGTCGCTTTCAGATTTCTTTACGGTGCTTACATTTTTTATGATCTTTGTAGTTCTGATCAAAATTCTAACAAACTTGCACAACATGAAAGAAAAAAAAATAAAATTAAAAATTCCGTACATAATTTGAATTATTTTCACACTTATTATGGGTTCATCGGAAATTTGTTCGATTATGATATATGTTTTCTACATCTGATTTTATTAATTCGCTTGATACTCCGACATGTACTATTAACACATTCATGCACCATTGAAAGAAAGCAATTTAATATTTGAAAATTATTATATCTTGCTGTTACGGCCATTTCGGTAATTAGACTTTTCAGGGTCATTAGTGTGATGTGACGTCATCGTTTTGGGGCACAGTAATTTTTTATGTAGAGCCCGTGTTATCATAGCAGTTTGCCATTTGCTAGTTTACTATGCTTTCAATTCTTTGTACTAATATTTATTTCACCGGAGGAAACTTCTAATTGGTGAGTTTTTCTATGTAAAATCATTTATCTGTATACACTGTATATTTGTCATCTCGGTAAATTTAGCATTTTTTAAGTATCTCGCTATAAAGTTATTGTTGAAAATACATGTGCACTAATGGAGTTAATAATTATAATGCAATTAGTAAGTAAGGTACATTATGGACATACATATTGTAATTTCGCTGGATATGTGCACACGTATTACGTACGGGAGATAACTCTTTTTTTCTGCCATGTTTTTCTATCATGATTTGTGTTAAGAAGAGTTATACCTCTTTGTTTACATTTTGACGACAGTTTTTGTGTATTGAAGTATTTTCTAGAACGTGTAATACATCATGATTATTTGCTTGGATGTGTTATCAAGTGTAGCTTGCTTGAAATATCTTGTATTTATAGTATTTTTTCTTTGTATTTTTTTGTAGTAAATCGTCATTTCTACATCAATGTAATAGTCAACGTCATTTCTACGTCTACTTCTATGTCATCGTCATTTCCATGTCAACTTCAAGTCATATTTCCACGTCATTGTCATCGTCATATCTCATCATCCTCATAAATAAAATCATTGGACGCATTTACAACGTTGTTTCCTTAATTTACTGTCCCGAGTCAGTACAAAATATTTACAATTAGAACTTGAGATGAAGGAAGGAGAGGAGGGTGAGTCACAGGAGTGTCAGCCCAGAAGGAGTGAAAGAAAAAAAGACTGAGAAAGGTGCTGAATTTAATCTAGAGACAAAGCTCAACAACAGAGAAAAATGTAACAAGGTACTGTTAGCACTTAGTGATAATTTAAATGGACTTTTGGAATCATCAGACACCATCAAAACTGCTTACAGTACATGGTTGGACAAGTTCGAGGATTTTCTAGAGCTCCAGGAAGAAGTTAAAGTAATAATCCCTCTGAAAGAACAGACGGTAATTGAAGAAATATTCCGAGGAAGAAATAAACAACTAAGGGATGCGAAATCATCAGTCGAGAAATGGTTTACAAGGCAGTCGAAAGGTGTTTCACTCGACCAACGATCTATTGTTTCGAAGTCAAGTAACTATTCAGTGGCCAAACTTGAGGAAAAACAACACAAGGCAGAATTATTAACAAAAGCAGCTGCGCTTAAAGAGAAGAAACAGATAGAGGAGGCCAAACTACAGTTAAAAATGAAAGAAAAAGAACTAAATATAAAAACAACACTAAAGATCAGTGACGCTCGAACTAAAATTATTGAAGAACTTGAAAGGAGTGAATTGAGGGACCAGCAGCTTACCGAAGCTTTGAGTGATATCCATGCAGAATTGCATCACCATGGCACACCTTTGTTTTCACCTATACCGAAACCAAGTGCACAGCAGTTATTGCATTTGAATGTACCTGTGTCTACCACACAGTCTACCTTGAATCCACATGCGCCTTTGTTTACATCTGTGTCAAGGACTGTAAGTCAGCAAAACTGGAATACACCATTTGTGACTCCAGGTACTTCATCACATGTGCCTGTTTGTGTGACTACATGTACGCCACATAGTATTCCTTACATTCTTATGTCGACACAACATAGTACGCCTTATGTACCTGCGTTACCAACATTCGTTGATTAAGACAATTCAAGACATGCGCTCAGTCATAATCGTGAACATGAAGGCCTACTTATTGTGGCACAAGAACTAAATAAGCCTGAATCAAAAATACAGAAGTTGGGAGGGAATCCAATGGACTACCAGAGATTCATTAGACAGTTTACTACCAGGGCGTGTGCTAATACCAGCTCATGTGATGAACGTTTGAACTTTCTTCTGCAATTTACCAGTGGTGAGGCTAACAGAATAGTGACTGGATATTCACACTTAAATGCTGAAGGCGGATACAAGGCAGCGATGGAGTCTCATCTATCTACAAACAATTATGCATATGAACAACGTAGACCAAATCATCTGGATTTGTGAAACCATGTGCTTATTGTCAAGGCACATCACATTCATTGGAAGAGTGCCGGAACGTTATGAAGCTACCCCTAAAGGACAAACATGAAGTGTTGAAGTCCAAGGGACTGTGTTTCGCGTGATTGAGATCGGGACATCTTAAGGGAGCCTGTCAACACAAGTTATACTGCGTTCACTGTAAGAAGTGCCACCCATCTATACTTCACGTGAATCCTCGACAAGGCGAAGAAAACCCAGTGACTACTGATCAAAACAACAACAGCTCATCTGCATCCGTTTCTCCAACAGCGCATATGGGGGCTGGGGATTCAGTGAGGCAAGCGCTTCCGGTCGTCTACCAGTACGTCTCAAATCAAGAAACAGTGACAAATTTATTACAATTTATGCTTTCCTGGATTCTGGGAGTACAGCGACATTTTGTACTGAGGAAATAGCAAGATCACTTCACTTTGAAGGCAAAAAGACTGTGCTTAACTTAACAACCATGGGACAGCAGAGGACAGAAAACTGTTGCATTCTATCTGGTCTTGAAGTGAGTGATTTAAATGGTGATCACACAATTGACTTACCTCCTATATACACTCAACCGGATCTGCCCATATCTAAGAAAGACATTGTTACGCCTGAGGACCTACAAAGATAGCCGCATCTGCGTGATGTACATATTGATACCATAGATAGTGATGTTGGTTTGTTGATTGGTGTCAATGTACCGAAAGCAATGGAGCCATGGGATGTGATTACTAGTGTACGCAAAGGTCCTTTCGCTGTTAAGACTCTGTTAAGATGGGTAATCAATGGACCGCTTGATAACAGACCAGAGAATGGCACTTACAGTACATACGTCACAGTCAACCGCATCGACGCAAGATTAGAGGAGCAAATGAGATATCAATTCAATCATGACTTTAGTGAAAGAGCTATCGATGATGTTCCAGAGCCGTCAAGGGACGACAGGAGATTTCTATGTTCCAGAGCCGTCAAGGGACGACAGGAGATTTCTCGACTTTGTGACAAATTCAGTTCGCTTTGAAAATGGACATTACGTCATTGGTTAACCTTTCAAATCAGAAAATGTGATAATGCCAAACAACAGAAAACAAGCAGAACAGAGACTGAATTCGTTGGCTAAGAAACTTTGTAGTGAAAGTGAATTCCATGACAATTATAAAGCCTTCATGGACAAAATTATTAGCAAAGGCTATGCACGAAAGGTACCTATAGAAGACTTAAATCAAGATGATGGACGCGTTTGGTATTTGCCACATCATGGTGTACTACATCCCAAGAAGAAAAAACTTAGAGTTGTGTTTGATTGTGCAGCGAGGTTCCAAGGGACTTCACTGAATGAGCAATTATTACAGGGCCCTAACTTGACAAACACACTCATCGGGACTTTGATGCGATTTAGAGAGGAGGAAATCGCTGTGATGGGGGAGATATAGATAGTATGTTCTACCAAGTACGTGTTCCGCCACAAGATGCTACTTCTCTACGATTTCTCTGGTGGAAAGATGGAAATCCTTCCAGTAGTTTGCTTGAGTACCAGATGATCGTGCATTTGTTTGGAGCCACATCTTCGCCTAGTTGCGCCAACTTTTGTTTAACAGACAGCTCAAGATTGGTCAGGACATTTTAGTGATGAGACAAGAAATACAGTTAAGAATTTCTATGTTGATGATTGTCTTAAGTCGGTGAATTCTGTAAGAAATGCTGTGACATTGGTGAAAGAGTTACAGGGACTAGGTCAAGGACTTGGATCTTGACTATGATACACTACCAGTAGAGCGAGCCCTCGGCATCCAGTTGTGTGTGAATTCTGATATCTTTCAGTTTAAACTGGACTTCAACAGGAAACCACTTTCGAGGCCAGGAATTCTGTCAATGGTGAGCGGTGTGTTTGATCCACTTGGATTCTTAGCTCCACAACTACCGGTACTCAAGGCCAAGATTATTCTGCAGGAATTGTGCAAACTTTAGCTTGGTTGAGATGATAAGATTCCAGTTGACACTGCTATTCAGTGGAATAATTGGTACCATGATCTCAAGAAATTGAGGGACTTCAAAGTGAACAGATGTCTGAAACCTTATGGTTTTCATCCACTCATGGTACAGTTACATCATTTTGCTGATGCGAGCGAAAGTGGATATGGTACAGTGTCATACTAGTACTTGTGCATGGAGAACGCTTCTGGTGAACGTCATTGTTCCTTCATTATGGGAAAATGTCGCGTTTCTCCACTTAAGGCAACATCTATTCCACGATTGGAGTTGACGACAGCCCACTAGCCGTCAGAACCAATAGCATGTTACTTAGAGAATTAAATATTCCTGTCCATCGTATTACATACTGGACCGACAGCATGGCCGTTCTACGTTATATTCAGAATAGTACGGCGAGATTTCCTACTTTTGTTGCAAACAGATAAGCAGTTATCCACGAAGGGTCACAACCAACTGACTGGAGATACATTAACACAAGGATGAATCCAGCGGATCATGCATCTAGAGGTATCTCTGCAGATGGCTTACTGAAACAGGAGAACTGGATCAAACCCCCCAATTTCCTGTTTGAACCTGAGGATCATTGGCCAACACCAGCTTCATACCTCACTGAAAGAGAACTGTTTGACAACGACCCAGAGGTGAAAAAGGTTACTGTAAAGACAATTGTCACAAAATCACAGGAATTACAAGAGAATACCGTAGATATTAACGAGCTTTTTCAACATCATTCGTCTTTGTATTTATTAAAACGTAGTGTGGCCTGGATTTTGAAGATACGAAAAGAACTGTTAAGACCTGTTCGTGTGAAAAGACTCGATTCGCACTCACTGGTACATGATGATTCTTGTGACAAGGCTTACATTTCATTTGAGGACTTGAAAGAAGCAGAGAGAGTTATACTTACTTTCATTCAGCGACAGGAATTTCCTACGGAAATAAATACCCTTGTGTCAGGAAACTCTAGTGTCAGTCATGGTAGCAGAATCCGGAGCCTGGATCCGTTTTTGGATGCTGGACTTTTGCGAGTCGGTGGTCGTTTACACAAGTCAAGTTTTCCACAGGAGATGAAAGGTCCAGTGATTTTACCCAAAGATCATCATGTTTCCACTCTAATTCTTAAACAAATTCATCAGGATCTACTACATAGTGGCAAAAATCACATGCTAGCAAAGCTGAGAGAACGTTACTGGCTTATCCATGCTCCATCTGCAATTCGGAAAGTCATATCAAAGTGTGTTACTTGTAGACGACTTGTAGGTCTAAGGTCGGAGAGCAAAAGATGGCAAGTTTGCCCAAAGATCGTATTATACCGGACGAACCACCGTTTAGCAGAGTTGGTGTCGATTATTTCGGACCATTTGAAGTCAAAGTGAAACGGAGCCGTGTGAAACGCTACGGTTTTATATTCACTTGCGTAGCTAGTCGTGCAGTGTATCTAGAGATAGCAGCTTCGTTGGATACAGATTCCTACATAGATGCACTACCTCGTTTCATAGTAAGAAGAGGACAAGTAAAAAAAATACGTTCTGACAACGGAACTAACTTTGTTGGTGCCGAACGTGAACTTAAAAAATCCATACAAGAATGGAACCAAGCACAGATCCAATCTGCAATATTACAAAAGAACGTAGACTGTCAGTTTAACCCACCAGCTGGATCACACTGCAGGGGAGCCTGGGACAAGTTAATTAGATTTATTCGTAAAGCCATGAATAGTGTACTAAAGAAGCAGACACTTGATGATGAAGGACTTCATACTCTAATGTATGAAATTGAATATACAGATCAACACTGTGACTTGGAGCCACTTACTCCAAACCATATGCTTTTGATGAAGAGGAAACCTAACCTTCCTCCAGGAGTCTTTGATAAGACAGATCTGTACCACAGACGCCGTTGGAGACAGATACAATATATGGCCAACTTGTTCTGGCATCATTGGGTACGCAAGTACCTACCACTTCTCCAGGAACGACAGAAATGGCATGATATCAAGAGAAACTTTCAAATCGGTAATATTGTGTTAGTTGTAGATTTGAACGGCCCAAGGAACTCTTGACCGATAAGAGTAGTGCATGAGACAGAAATGGACTCGTGCGTCAGGTGAAAGTGAAAACTGCGACAAACATTCTAACGCGACCTGTAGAAAAACTGTGCATGATCCTAGAAATGTTTGAGATGTGTTTACTGAGAGACTTTGAATATATGAATATTCTTCTTTATCATGTACATGTATTGAATTTGCTAGGTATCATATTTATCATGTGCATATATCATTTTTGATAAGAATTTAGTACAGTGTAACCTGTTTAACTTGCATTGTGTTTTATACAATTTTTGGGTTAATGGATATAATGTATATATATATATATATATATTTTTGTAATTGTGTCACATTTGTTTCATAATAAGGGGGCTGTATTGTTACGGCCATTTTGGTAATTAGATTTTTTAGGGTCATTAGTGTGATGTTACGTCATCGTTTTTGGGGCACAGTAATTTTTTATGTAGAGCCCGTGTTATCATGGCAGAACGCGGCAGGGCTTGGTGCCGCAATTGTTACCAGTTTGCCATTTGCTAGTTTACTATGCTTTCAATTCTTTGTACTGATATTTATTTCACCGGAGGAAACTTCTAAGTTTGGGTTAGTTTGAGTTTTTCTATGTAAATCATTTAACTGTATACACTCTATATTTGTCATCTCGGTAAATTTACCATTTTTTATGTATCTCGCTATAAAGTTATTGTTGAAAGTACTTGTGAACTAAAGGAGTTATAATGCAATTAGTAAGTTAGGTACATTATGGACATACATATTGTAATTTTGCTGGATATGTGCACACGTATTACGTACAGGAGATAACTCTTTTTTCTGCCATGTTTTTCTATCATGATTTGTGTTAAGAAGAGTTATGCCTCTTTGTTTACATTTTGACGACAGTTTTTGTGTATTGAATTATTTTCTAGAACGTGTAATACATCATGATTATTTGCTAGGATGTGTTATCATGTGTAACTTGCTTGAAATATCTTGTATTTATAGTATTTTTCTTTGTATTTTTTGTAGTAAATCTTCATTTCCACATCAATGTAATAGTCAACGTCATTTCTACGTCTACTTCTATGTCAACGTCATTTCCATGTCAACTTCAAGTCATATTTTCACGTCATTGTCATCGTCATATCTCATCATCCTCATAAATAAAATCATTGGACGCATTTACAACGTTGTTTCCTTAATTTACTGTCCCGAGTCAGTACACTTGCTTTTGCTAATTCTTAGTGTTTTTCAAAAGTATATGCAAATATTAAACGAAAGACGTTCATTAGAAAGAAAATCTATATACGGTGTCTTAAAAATTTCCGAAGGGCCCTCGTATATCAGAAGTATAAAACTTGGTAAATAAATGACATGGTTATCATGCTTCGATATATGTAAATGTGGAATTGAAGGCCACAGAAGGTTTTAAAAGTTGTATATGAATATAAAAGAGGCCCATGGGCCTTATAGGTCACCTGGGTATCATGCAACACCTTTCCAATGATTGAATTTGGTTCCTTTTTAATCAAGATTAGGGTTAGGGGTCAGGTTTAGTTAATCAAGAGGAAAGAATATTTAATTTTGATGAAACATCATCGCTTATCATGTATATATACTTAGCATTCCTACTTTGATTACTAAATACCCAGAGGCAGAACAGAAGAAAAAGTAAAAATGCTTTCCAACTTTATAATCAGTAGTGCCCCGTCCAAGAAGAACCACCGACCATGGGACCACATATTCAACAATTTTCTAAAAGCACCTTTCTTCATCATAAATGGTTGATAAATACTAAGGAGAGGATTTCCAAACATTAATTCATAATCAGTATTTTATCATTAAAGCTTCCTCATTCAGATCCCTTTACCAGGGGCCATGAAATTCATTATTTTGAAATAGGCATTTTTTTCTCAACAAAACTCTATACAAAGATCATCAGTATAATGCCCAGGAGGTGAAGAGAAAATTTTCAAAACATTACTGCATGTTCCCCACATAATGAAACGTTTCCCAACCTTACTCCAAAAGCCATGACCCACAAATTCACATTTTTCGAAGATGCACCCGTTTTCGCCATAACCATTCACATAGTTCATTGATTTAATACCCAGGAGCAGTGAAAAAAAATTTAAAGAATTAATGCATTTCACCTCAAAATTATAAAAATCTGAATCATACATGTACATAACAAATAGTATTTTTAATCAAAGTAATTAATTCAACGACAATTATAGATAAGAATTATAGAAAATGCTTGATCCATGTTTCATCTACGCCTTTACATGTATATCCGTAGCACTATTTTTACACCTGTATATACATGTAGATAATGAATTGCCTTCAGGCAAGTCAAAGTTTTTGGAGTTTTATTTATTCCTATTGGTAGTTTGTTTGTAAAACTGGTTTTCATTGGTTTTATTTTAATGGTCATTGTTTTATGGTCAATATTCTTTGTCTTGTTGAATTTTGGCCAAAGACGTTTAATAAAGTGTGTCTTGTGACTTTGACTTTGGAACCTAAATTTTCCTTCTTTCTGTGAAGTACAAATTATTCCAAATTGCTAATAATCAACCAATATGCTTATTTTATGGATCTGCATTTATAATTCTTCCCATTTATTCTTGATATAATTGAGAAAAAGATATTTATTTTCATGATTCTGATGATAAGCATAGCATTCATATCAGAGACGCACAGTCAAAAAAACAACAACCACCAAGACGTTTACCAGTACTGCTTGAATGAAATATAATTGTACCTTCGTCTAGTCCGTGGGCCTCGGGTATCATACTAGTTAAGAAAAAATGGATCAACTCGATTTTTATAGATTATAAGCGATTAAATGTTACTTTGAAAGATGTATGCTGTTTTCTCATGATCGACGACATGTAAGATAGTATAAGTGGTGCTTTGTGGTTCTCAACTCTTTACTTGGCTATGGAAAACTGGAAATGGAGGCCAACAAACTTAGAAGCATATCCAGACAGTTTATCTACTTCAGTATTTGTTTTTGTTCAAACAAGATTTTGAATCTTTTAAAACTGTTTTCTATTTTGTCACTGGGCTAAGCTGTCTTAAATTAGTTCCCTTGTAATTTGCCTGTGAATCGGTAGAACGATATATGACTCTTTCTAAAACTTTATTATAAATGCTGTCCAAAGTTCTACCAATTAAATCTTTATTTTAATCTATCAAACAATGAATTGGCTCTTAAAAAACCATTTTCGCTTGGAATGCCCATGCCCTCTGTAGAGTACATATCGCAGCTTGTAATCATCACACTTCTTGCTGGAATATTCGCCCTCGTGGCGCATTGGTTTGAGCAACTTCTCTAGAGACGCGAATTAAGGAGTTGATCCTTCGATTCGAATCCTATTGTAGGATGATAGACCGTATAAACTGAGGCCCGGTGTCACAATAGGTGCTGGCAGGAAAAAAAATTCCTCCCTGCTAAATGGCCCTGATCTATGAGTGCCGAGTGTATAACAAAATTTGCAGCTATCCACCGGCAAGTGATGTTTTCTCCTAATGATTGACAGCGATTGAATCATTTACAAATTCTCGAGAAGGACTTTAAACAATATACAATCAATCAATCATTCTTGGTGGAATAGTAAATGACTCTGAAGCCACCATCCGAAAACATCCCGACATTCAAACGCCTTGATCACTTCATTGTAGTTTCTTTTATTATCCCCTCCCACATTTACAAGCACCCCTGTGCTTGTCCTCTCAAAGAGATTGCTGAAAAGTCTTTCTGTAACACTCCAATTGTTCAATGAAAAACACGCCTCAAAGTGTGATTTATAATCAAGCCATGATCATATCCCGTCATATGTGGATGGTTTAATGTAATTGCAGTAGTATATTGCTTCTTCACTGAATTCTTTTCTTTTGGTTTTGCTTCGTTCCACCTTGTTCGTCCTCTCTGGCATTGATATTTGCATCGCTACTTTATATTAGCTCTTGTTCCAAATTGACATCTATTGATGTCTCATGCAGGCATGGGGTTATCGTATTCGAGTAATCGTAATCGGTTGTAATGATGACTTTTTTTCAAGCAATCGACAGAGTTTTTCGATTACTTGTAATCATAATTTGATCGATTACAGCTAAAATTCCCGATGTAATTATAAATTACTTTTAGATAACTTTCAATTACCTTATACACTTATACATACTTTATGCATGAATGTTATTTTGGAGAATTATTTCCAGTTAGTCACAAATAAATATTATTTATAAACAACCTTATGATATGTGTTGATTTCCTCCGTTATTAGCAGACTTATTTATATTCATATGAAGCAGAATTTATGCAAAATTTTGTGCGTGAAAAGAAGAAGACACTTGCTGTGGCCTTCAACTCGACATTTAAGAGGCCATGTCAATAAGCATTGAGCTTCACCCTATATAAACATGGAAAGTGGAAAAAAATTTTTTTTGCTCAAATTTTGTGAACGTGATGCATAGTCTTTCAAATATATCTACCCGGGCATATGACCTCTTGTTTCCATGGCAACCAGAGCATTTTGTCATACTTATCAGAGAAATATGTAGACTGGCCTATCCTGTTATAATTCATATATTTGACATCAAAACTCTAGGTATTATTTAATAATGTGGGTCATAAAGTGCTTTGAACTATATTTCTCTATTTTATAAGTAAAATTTAATTTGTGCTTCATTTTATTAAGATTTACCGGTAGATTTATATCCCATAAAGAGCTAAGTGGTTTGCAAATGCTGTGCAGCTTTAAAAAATTCTATATATATCTGTAGAAGGAGAATGTTCTGTTCAATATATTAAATAAATAAAATTGGGTAGACTCTTAAAACCTGAAGTAAAATATCAGATTGAATTGTTGGAAAACTCTGTTGAAAAACGATTGGATTGCCTCCCTTGCATGAGCTCTCTAGTAAAGGAGACCGGAAAGAATGGAACAGACAACAATTGAGGAAATGCGGGAGAAAAGGGAAAACTTCCAACTTGGAGTACTTGGACAAAAACATATAAT